ATCTCAGACGTTGTGAAGGTGACTCTGACTCCTGAGGAAGAGGCCCGTTTGAAGAAGAGTGCGGATACACTTTGGGGGATCCAAAAAGAGCTGCAATTTTAAAGTCTTCTGATGTCATACCATTTCACTGTCTAGGCTACAACAGGATTTTAGGAGGTTGTGCATGTTGTCCTTTTTATCTGATCTGTGATTAAAGCAGTAATATTTTAAGATGGACTGGGAAAAACATCAATTCCAGAAGTTAGAAATAGGAATGGTTTGTAGAGTCCTACAGCTATATTCTGATGCTGGATGGTGGTAACCTTGTGTAGTCCTAAACTGGTTAGTGTGAAATAGTTCTGCCACCTCTGAGGCACCACTGCCAATGCTGCACGTGCTGCAGTTGTCCCTTGAGCCAGAGAGATGTTCATTTGTTATATAACTTCCTGGCTCCTTCACTGAACATGCCTAGTCCGATATTTTTCCCAGTCATATCCTGGCATTCAGTGTATAGATCCAATATCGCATGCCTTGTTCCAAAGGATCTTATTTTGTGAACTATATATATCAGTAGTGTATATTACCATACAGTGTAAAAAGATCTACATATGAACAATGCAACCAACTATCCAAGTGTTACACCAACTAAAACCCCCAATAAACCTTGAACAGTGACTACTTTTGTTAATTCATTATGTTAAGATATAAAGTCATAAGCTGCCAGTTATTCATTATATTATTAGGCTACTGGGTAACCCTGCAATGATTTTTTTAAAAAGGGACATTAATTACTAATAGCAGACAGAGTAACAATAGAATTGTTTTAGTACCACTTCCATTAAAATCGAGTTTTAATATACTAAGTCCCAAAGTATTATATGAGATATTTGATAATAATGCTAATCATAATTGGAAAGTAACATTCTATATGTGAATGTAATATTTATTTGCCAACTGAATATAGGCAATAGTACTTTGTCACTACAGGGAACACAGATTTTCTTTGCCCTCTAGAAGCCAGTAACAAAAACAATTTTAAGGTCGGGTGGATTGGCTCATGCCTGTAAACCCAGCACTCTGGGAGGTCAAGGTGGGCTGATCACTTGAGGCCAGAGACCAGCCCAGCCAACAGTGAAATCCCATTTCTTTAAAACAAAACAAAAAAACAAGTATCCTTGGTGGTTGTCTACTCAAGTTTTCTTTAAATTTTTCTAAAAATACAACTGGAACCCTTATCCAGGCCTGAAAACCATACTTGTAAAGATTAACTGGACAACATTATTGTCGTTATTCCCAACTCCAGGATCTTTTTCCAAAGATTCTTTCCTGGGAGCCAGTTAAGGAATTGTCTCAGCATGGTTTTCCAACCTTTTGCTTTGCCTGAGCCACATTGGAAGAAGTGTCTTGGGCCACACATAAAACACACCCACCAGGCACGGTGGTTGACACTTGTAATCCCAGCACTTGGATAGGCCGAGGTGGGTGGATCACTTGAGGCCAGGAGTTGAAGACCAGTATGGCCAACACGGTGAAACCCCATCTCTGCTAAAAATAGAACAATTAGCTGGGTGTAGTGGCCTGTGCTTGTCATCCCAGCTACTTGGGAAGCTGAGGCACAAGAGGCTGAGGTGGTGATCAGGGAATGAACTGGTGATAAACCCACAAGAGACCAGTGAACCCAGATGGTGTCACTGCACTTGAGCCTGGGCAACAGAGCAAGACTGTGTCTCAAAAGTTAAATAACACTACCAATAGCTGATAAGCTAAAAAAAAATTCATAATTTTTCTGATAATCTGCCACCACAAATAAGCAAAAGAGTCTTCACATTCAAAGGGTTGGACACATCTATAAAGTATAAATCTGTGGATTTTTAGTGTATTCACATAGTTGACAACCATCACCAATATCTAATCTTAGAATACAGGCTGGGTGCAGAGGATCACACTTGTAATCCCAGCACTTTAGGAGGCCAAGGCAAGTGGATTGTTTGAGCCCAAGAGTTTGATACCAGCCTAAGCAACATGGCAAAATAAATTCCTGTCTCTACAAAAAAAATTTCCCACGTATGGTGGCGGACACCTGTAGTCCTAGCTGCACAGGAGGCTGAAATGGGAGGATCCCTTGAGCCCAGGAGGCAGAGGTTGCAGTGAGCCAAGATTGTGCCACTGTACTCCAGCCTGGATGACAATGAAATCCTGTCTCAAAGGAAAAAAAAAAAAAAGGACATTTTAATTAGCCCAAAAAGAAGCCTGTACTTACTCCTGTAGCCTTTTGGAAACTTTGAGGCACCTTCAGTCTTCAAAATGTTTTAAATTTACATTAATTTCATATTATTTGATACAATAAATTAATATCAACAAGACTGAAAAATAACAAGTGAAATAGACTGATTCTATTAGTCTTTCATGAATTTCCAAATGGAATCTTGTGAAACTTCCTTACTTATTGGCAAAATAAATGTCTCGGCTTTGCTTTGTAGCTTTCTGCCTCAGGCAAAGAATAGGCCAGCTCTGCAAGGACCCTGATTCTTTTTGTCTTAGTAACCTTGGAAACTGGATTAAGTAGGCCTTATCCCCATCTCACAGAAGTTGCCAGTTAGTGTAGAAGCAAATGTGATGCTCAGAACATGGTTCTTTCTTTTTTTTCCCCCAGAAACTTTGATTTAATCAGAACATGGCTCTACTGCCATTTTTTAAAAATCCCACTAAAGCCCATGTTGCCAAAATAAAAATACTTAAAAGCCATGTTCTTTAACATTTTTTTATTTTAATTTTTTTTTTGGATGGGTTTTCCCTATGTTTCTCATGCTGGTCTTGAACTCCTGGGCTGAAGCACTCCTTGTGCCTCGGCCTCCCAAACTGCTGGGTTGCAGGTATGAGCCACTATGTCTGACCTCAAAATTCTTTAGTGAGTACCTACTATTCTTTGGTAAATGTTGCAATATATAAGAATAAACACAGACAATTTTTGGTTTGCCTAAAGTGTCTGCAGTCAAGTAAGCAAAATGGTAAGTTTGGAGTACTTGGGCAGGCCTGGATGAAGAGCCAGTTCTAGTCACCTAGCATTAGTTTGGCCACTACCAAGCTGATAACTTCCTTGGCAACCAGGGGCCTGAGGCAGGTGTAGAGCTTAAATTTCCAGTCCATTCAGGCCAGCAGTCTCCTTCTCAGCCCAGGGATAAATAAGGTTGCTGTGGAGGTATACGACCAAGTGGTTGCTGTTTCTGTCCGATATAGGGGGCCTCTAGCTTCAGGCTACTTGTTGGTTGAGAAAAGTGCCATAAGAGAGAGATACACTGGAAATGACAGTAGCTGACATTTGTCAAGGAAAGCCAGAGCATGTATGTGCAAAGCTGAAAATGAGGAATTAACCTTGAGAAGGGCTAGGGAAAGAGCTTTCTAGGTTTAAAGAACAGTAAATAAAGTCCTGATCCAAATAAAGCTGCCCAAAGTCTGCTTGGAGGGGAGTGTATTGAGTGTCCTGAGATGATATCAGAGGTGGCGTAGGAGGCCAAATCTTGAATATCTAGCTTGTGGTAATTGGTTACTCTGCGTTCAATGGAAAGCCACTGAAAAGGTTTAAAGCAGGGTTATTACATAATCTGAACCATATTAAAAACAAAGACTGGCCGGGCGCGGTGGCTCAAGCCTGTAATCCCAGCACTTTGGGAGGCCGAGGCGGGTGGATCACAAGGTCAAGAGATCGAGACCAACCTTGGTCAACAAGGTGAAACCCCGTCTCTACTAAAAATACAAAAAAATTAGCTGGGCATGGTGGTACATGCCTGTAATCCCGGCTACTCAGGAGGCTGAGGCAGGAGAATTGCCTGAACCCAGGCGGCGGAGGTTGCGGTGAGCCGAGATCGTGCCATTGCACTCCAGCCTGGGTAACAAGAGCGAAACTCCGTCTCGGAAAAAAAAAAAAAAAAAACAAGTACTGGCCAGGCACGTATTTGTTTAACCATATTAAAAACAAATACTGATTCATGCATGTAAAACCAGCACTTTGGGAGGCTCAGGTGGGTGGATCCCTTGAAGTCAGGAGTTCGAGACCAGCCTGGCCAGCATGGTGAAACTCCATCTCTATTAAAAATACAGAAAAAAAAAAAAAATAGCCAAGTGCAGTGGCATACGCTTGTAGTCCCAGCTACTTGGGAGGCTGAGGCAGGAGAATGGCTTGAACTCGGGAGTCAGAGGTTGCAGTGAGCCGAGATCGTGCCGCTGCACAATCAGCCTGGGCGACAGAGTGAGACTCCTGTCTCAAACACCACCACCACCACCACTACAGGCTATTATATGAAAAATAAATTATATTTTGAATTTTGAAAAAGGTTCAAATGCAAATACTCGACAAAGATGGAGTAGGTTGTGTCCCCTTCTGTGAGTTATAAATATTAATAATTACTTGCTGTAAATTGAATGCATCCTTAGCATCTTTGCATTTCAATTATTACCCTCTGTTCTCTCAAGAGAAATTCTGACTTTGTTTCAGCACTCAGTCCTGAGAAGTTAATAATTTTTTTTTTTTGAGACAGAGTCTCACTCTGTCCCCCAGGCTGGAGTGCAGGGGCACCATCTCTCCTCACTGCAACCTCCGCTTCCCAGGTTCAAGGGATTCTCCTGCCTCAGCCTCCCAAGCATCTGGGACTACAGGCACGCACCACCACACCCAGCTAATTTTTGTATTTGCAGTACAGACGGGGTTTCACCATACTGGTCAGGCTGGTCTTGAACTCCTGACCTCGTGATCCACCCGCCTTGGCCTCCCAAAGTGCTGGGATTACAGGCATGAGCCACCGCGCCCGAGAAGTTAATAATTATTTTAAATCCTGTAAATAATGCATCCCTGTCTTGCACACTCTTTGGGTCAGTCTAGAATTCTTCGCATCATTTCCCTGATCTGGATCGCCGCAACCCACACAGCTCTCCATCCTGGAGAGAAGTCCACGTGCCTGCGCCTGTTGGGGGAAGAGAGGCGGAGCTTGCGTGCTGACGCAGAGAGCCGTGCGTGGGAGCGTGGGCGCCTCGAGACACCCGAAGGGCAACCGTCGCCGGGCTTTGCGCCTCAACTGTCGTGGCTGTATTTTTCTGTTGTCACTTCTGTGTCTTTCTTCAAGGTGGTTGCTTGCCCTTTTGGGTCATCTGTACTGCGCCAAGCCAAGCATTTGTGAGCGCGTGGTGCTGGGGTGAAAGGGGGGGCTGGGGACAGAGAGAAATCCAAAAGCCCGCTGGTGCCCCAGCCCTCTCGTTGCCTGGTAGGCTGGGCCTTGCTTTACCTTCCGCGCACCCTTGACCAGGAAATTCTTCCTTTGGTTTCCCTCTACCCCGGCTCCAACATTCTGCAAACTGAAGAGGCTGTTCCTTAGATGTTGAGTGTGGTTAACACATCGTAGCTGTGAGAGTGATTAATTTAGGGAGTTCTATTCCATTGAAGTTGCGTTATCCCTATCAGGTTCTCCAAATGTCAACTGTCAAGGAGCAGCTTATTGAGAAGCTCATTGAGGAGGATGAAGACTCCCAACGTAAAATTACCGTTGTTGGAATTGGTGCTGTAGGCATGGCTTGTGCTATTAGCATTTTACTGAAGGTGAGTAAGAAGCCCATCCTGTGGCTGAAAATCAAGTGAGCACTTCAGAGTCTTCGCGATGTCAATGCATTCAGGGTTGCAGGGCTAATCCCTTGAAAGCAGATTTGTATCCTCTTATCTGGCCTGCCCACCCGCCAGCTCGGCCTCGCTTCCTTCTTTCCCCCTCCCCCTTCCTTATTTTTTCTTTCCCTCCCTCCCTCTCTCTTTCCTTTTCTTTCTTTTCTTTCCTTCTTTTCCTTCCTTCCCTCCTCCTTCCTTCCTTTCTCTGTATTAAAAACGCGCTCTTTGAATGAAGAGATCCCCCAAGCAGGCTTTGTGAGAGCAACATGGCTGTTTACTACCTGGGTGCGAGAGGGCTGAGGCCGAAAAGGGCGTTAGCAAAGGGCAGTGGGATAGGACTTGTTTTTTTTTAGGTTTGGGGTGGGCAGTGGAAAGTTACAGAGTAAGATCAGTTACAGTGGTGGGGGTAGGGGCAAGGACTACACATTACCGTAAGTTTAGTTACAATGGCAGGTGGGATAAGAGTAGTTAAAATGGCAGGGTGGGGTGAGGGACTTCTCCGGGGAAGCTTCGCTGGGCAGTTAGGGACAATGGCGAATGCGGGGGGGGGGTGGGGGGTGGGGGAGGGGAGGCGGTGGGAGACCATCAGCCGAGGCAAGCAAGACTTCAGACTTTCAGGCTCCGGACTTGACACTCCTTTTCTCTTTTCCTTTTCGTCTTTCTTTTCTCTTCTCTCCATTCTTTATCTGACGTTCCTTTTTCTTTTTTTGAGACAGAGTTTGTCTGTTGCCCAGGCTGGAGTGCAGTGGTGCAGTCTTGTTCCCCTGCAGCGTCCACCGCCCAGGCTCAAGCGATTCTCCTGCCTCAGCCTCTTGAGTAGCTGGGGCCTCAGGCACGCACCACCAGACTTGGCTAATTTTTTGTGTTTTTAGTAGAGACAAGGTTTACCATGTGGGCCGGACTGGTTTTGAACTCGTGACCTCAAGTGATCCACCTGCCTTGGTCTCCCAAAGTACTGGGATTACAGGCATGAGCCATGATGCCTGGCTACCAATAGGTATTTTTTTAACCCCTGTCCCCTCCCTTCCTCTCTGCTTTTGGAGTTCCTAGTGTTTGCTGTTGCCATCTTTATGTCCATTTATACCCAGTGTTTAGCTCCCACTTAAAAGCGAGAACATGCAGTATTTGGTTCTCTGTTTCTGCATTAATTCACTTAGGATAATAGGTTCCAGCTATATCCATTTTGCTGCAAAGAACATGATTTTGTTCTTTTTTATGGCTATTGAATATTCAGTATTCCATGGTGTATATGTTCCACTTTTTCTTTATCCAGTCCACCATTATGGGTGCTTAGATTTATTCCGTGTCTTTGTTATTATGAATAGCACTGGGAGAAACATGCTAGTGTAGGTATCTTTTTGGCAGAACATAATTCTAACTTTCTGTACTTTATGATGCTGGTGGTGGATCTCTGCACCTTTTCTTCCTTGCCAGTTGGCATCTTCTCAGATTCTGCCAATAGAGGTCACTAGAGGGAAGTTGGAAGGTAACAGGAGGGGAGAAGAGACCTCCTTGTTTGCTTATTGTTCTGGTTACTGTCATCCCAGCTGTAGCTCTTTGTTGAAATTAGGTTGGTTCTAACCTCCATCTTCTTTTGGAACTCCCAACATTGCCCTCATCTTGTCGGCTCAGCAGTATCAGCAACAACCAGGTTTTGCCTTCTTCAGGTGTCTGAACATAGCTCTATGAAACACTTCCAGTAGTCTCTCTGCTCTGTCACCCTTAGGGGTGTTAACTTCTAACTACAGTTGCTGTGTCTGGATTACCTCATATGTTCCCTTTTTGCTCTTTCAGAACTCCAACTGCTAGCTAATTCCCTATACTAAATTTCCTCTGTTGAAATGCTTAGAGTGGTTTCCATTTTTCTGACCAAACCCAGACTGTGACACAGACTGATACAAAAATTGACCCATAAACATGATATGTTTTTTTTGTTGTTGTTGTTGTTTGTTTTTCTTGTTGTTGAGACGAGGTCTGGCTCTGTTGCCCAGGCCAGAGTGCAGTGGTGCAATCTCAACTCACTGCAGTCTCTACCTCCCAGGTTCAAAGCCACCCTCCCACCTCAGTCTCCTCAGTAGCTGGGACTACAGGCACACACCACCATGCCCGGCTACTTTTTGTAGAATCAGGGTTTTGCCATGTTGCCCAGGCTGGTCTTGAACTGTTGAGCTCAAGTGATTCTCTTGCCTTGACCTCCCAAAGTGTTGGGATTACAGGCATGAGCCACTGTGCCCTGCCAAATATCATCTAGGTTGTTTGTGCACAATTCTGCCTTCTTTTCTTTCTTGCTTTCTCCCTTTCTTTCTTTCTTTTCTTCTTCTTCTTTTTTTTTTGATAGGATCTCACTCTGTCACCCAGGCTGGAGTGCAGTGGCGCAGTCATAGCTCACTGCAGCTCAACCCCCTGGGCTCAAGTGATCCTCCCACCTCAGCCACCCACATAGCTGGGATTACAGGCATGCACCACCATGCCTGACTAATTTTTTGTAGAAACAGGGTTTCACCATGTTGCTCAGGCTGGTCTCGAACTCCTGAGCTCAAGCAGTCTGCCACTTTGGCTTCCCAGAGTGCTGGATTACAGGTGTGAATTTAGGTTTGGGGTAGGCAGTGGAAAGTTACAGAGTAAGATCAGTTACAGTGGTGGGGGTAGGAGCAAGGACTGTACATTACCGTAAGTTTAGTTACAATGGCAGGTGGGATAAGAGTAGTTACACCTGGCTGGCTTTCTTATCAATTAGCTAAGAAGTGTTAATGTGATCCATCTAGATGAAACTTCTTAATCCTCCTCCCATTCATGATACACAACACATTATTTAGTAAATTTTAGAATATACGGTTTTTCAGAAGGGCCAAATGGTACCTGATCTAAGAAAAAAACAGTAGTAAGTAGGGACTTTTATCTCTTTCCCTTACTGTCCCTTTGGAATCTGGCCACTGGAATCTCAAGTACTATATAGTTCTGTACTCTGTTGCATGTGACAAAAACCCAATTCAAATTCGGTTAAGTAGAAAGAGACAACATATTGTTCATGTAACTTGAAATAGGGCAGAAATAGCTTCAGATACTACTGGATTCTGAAGTTCAGACATATCAAGACATAGTCTTTGCATATCTTGGTTTAGATTTTCTCTGTTGGCTTAATTCTTAGAGTCTTTCTGTGTGGTGGTAAAGATGGCTGTACAGTTTGTTCTTACATTCTTGTTTTTTTCCCTCCAATTCTACAGTCATTACTAAGGTTCTTAGATTTGCATGTCATTCTTAGAGCTTATGATTCCAAAGAAAAGTGAGATGTAATCTTCCATCTTCCAATTTCAAACTTTATAGACATACTTGTTTCTTATACCTGGGCCATACGTCCACTTATGAACTGATTTCTGTGACCAGAAGGAAAAGATGGAACAATTGGCTAGGTCTGGTTTTATGCCCATCTACTCCAAGGTTGGAGGACTGATGTTAACTGTACTGCACTGAACCACATGGAATGGATTCCCATGGAAAAGAAGAATTCTATTACCAGGGACACTAGACAGATGAAAATAAGTGTTCACCAGAGGTGGTTACCTTTCTGTTTGGGCCATAAGGATGCATACTAAAAGCAGCTTTAGCCGACTCAGAAATAAGGCTTAAGGTTATCCTGGCAGGGCACGGTGGCTCAAGCCTGTAATCCCAGGACTTGGGGAGGCCGAGGCAGGCGGATCACTTGAGGTCAGGTGTTTGAGACCAGCCTGACCAATGTGGTGAAACTTCATCTCTACTAAAAATACAGAAATTAGCCAGACATGGTGGTGGGCGCATGTAATCCCAGCTACTCAGGAGGCTTGAACCTGGGAGGTAGAGGGGTTGCAGTGCCTGAGATCATGCCACTGCGCTCCAGCATGGACAACAGAGTGAGACTCTGTCTCAAAAAAAAAAAAAAAACAAAAAAACCAAAAAAAAACACAGGTTAAATATAATAAAATCCTTTGAAATAATTTTATTTTCCTTGGTTTTCAGTTGTTATTTAAATGGTAAAAAACAAAACAAAAACCCAACTCTTAAAAAGTTCTAACAATTACATGAAGTCAAAACAATAATTTTTGCTACATCCTAATGTTTACTTACCTTTCCTTTTGGTCACCCTAGTCTCATTAAAAAACTATTTTTATATTATTTTTCCCTATTAAAATATGATATTCCTTTAATTATGAAGTAGCCACTTGAAAATTCTTCTCCTAAAACTTGAGTAGGAACATTTTTCTGAACATTTTACTCAGAACTTTCATATATTTTAGGATTTGGCTGATGAACTTGTCCTCGTTGATGTCGCAGCCGACAAACTGAAGGGAGAAATGATGGATCTTCAGCATGGCAGTCTTTTCTTTAGTACTTCAAAGATTACCTCTGGAAAAGGTTAATTTTAGTTTTATAAAGTCATTTCCAAAGCTTTATAAAAAATAAATTTTACCAAACTTTGTCAATAAATATAAAATTTAAAGTAGCACCGTTGGGCCATATAATTTAATTAATTTTTTTTTTTGGAGACAGAGTCTCTGTAGTTCAGACTGGAGTGCAGTGGCGCGATCTTGTCTTACTGCAACCTGCCCCTGCCAGATCCTGGTTTAAGCAATTCTCCTGCCTCAAGGCCTTCTGAGTAGCTGGGATTATAGGCACAAACCACCATGCCCAGCTAATTTTTGTATTATTATTATTTTTTTTAGTAGAGACGGAGTTTCACCATGTTGGCCAGGCTGATCTCGGAACTCCTGACCTTGTGATCCACCTGCCTCAGCCTACCAAAGTGCTGAGATGACAAGTGTGAGCCACTGAACTCAGTTAATTTTTTTTTTTTTTTTTTTTAAGACGGAATCTCGCTCTGTCACCATGCTAGAGTGCAGTGGCGTGATGTTGGCTCATTGCAACCACTGCCTCCTGGGTTGAAGTGATTCTCCTGCCTCAGCCTCCTGAGTAGAGCTGGGACTAGAGGCACATGCCACCATGCCCAGCTAATTTTTTTGTGTTTTTAGTAGATGATGTTTGACCACATTGGCTGGGATGATCTGGATCTCCTGACCTCCTGATCTACCCACCTCAGCCTCCCAAAGTGCTGGGATTACAGGCGTGAGTCACTGTGCCTGGCCAGTATTTCTGTTTTTTTGAGACAGAGTCTCGCTCTGTCAGCTAGGCTGGAGTGCAGTGACATGATCTTGGCTCACTGCAACCTCCACCTCCCAGCTTCAAGCGATTCTCCTCCTTCAGTCTCCTGTGTAGCTGGGATTACAGGCATGTACCAGCATCCCTGGCTAATTTTTGTATTTTTAGTAGAGAATGGATTTCACTATGTTGGCCAGGCTGGTCTCGAACTCCTGACCTCACATCTGACCATTCACGTCATTCTCCCAAAGTGCTGGAATTACAGGTGTGGGCCACTGTGCCTAGCCAGGCCATATAATTTAAAAAGTTAATTTTTAAAAAAAGAACATTTCAGTATAATTGGCGGATATTTGGAAAATAGAAAACCTGTATAAAGAAAATTTGAATCTCTTCTATTAATGACTTTATGTAGGTTTTCTAAGCTTTTGTTTTCTTTACATAACTGATGTATAAATGCTTTTAAGCTTGTCATTCTCTCTTTCTTTTTTTTTTTGAGACAGACTCTCACTCTGTCGCCCAGGCTGGAGTGTAGTGGTGGGATCTTGGCTAACTGCAACCTCCACCTCCCGGGTTCAAGCAATTCTCCTGCCTCTGCCTCCTGAGTAGCTAGGATTACCAGTGCATGCCACTACACCTAGCTTATTTTTATATATTTTTTAAATAGAGATGGGGTTTCACCATCTTGGCCAGGCTGGTCTTGAATTCCTGACCTCATGGTCCAACCACTTTGGCCACCAAAAGTGCTGGGATTACAGGCGTGAGCCACTGTGCCTGGCCTCGTCATTCTGCTTTGTATATTTTCCCAAGAATATACACTCTTGAATAGTTTTTATAATATTATTGATACATTTATCCATATTCTTTTTTTTTTTTTTTTAAGACAGGGTTTCACCATGTTGGCCAGGCTGGTCTTGAACTCCCGACCTCAGGTGATCTGCCTGCCTTGGCCTCCCAAAGTGCTGAGATTACAGGCGTGAGCAACCACGCCCAGCCCATTTATCCATATTCTTTAGTTTTTTTTTTTTTTAAGGAAAATTTGTATTATTGTAATTGTTTTTGTGTGCAGAAAACTCAGTAGTGTACATTTAACCCAGTTTAGTGGCAAGTTCTTTAGCCTTTGACTTTTCAAGCTTGGCAATAAAAGCCACAGACTTGGGACCCACGACACTCCCTCCCCAGTGACAGCAGATCTCATTATATCTGTCGTTGTGATTGGTCCTAATAGCTTCCACCAGCTTAACCAAAGTGCCTTTGTCTTCCAAGTTAACCTGCATGAAGGTGACAGTGGTGCAGGTCTTCCTGTGGACTAGACGTCCCAGTCTTGCTTTCCCCTTGATAATGCAGTAAGGGATCCACATTTTATAACACAAGGCAGGCAAGAAGACAACCAGCTCGATGGGATCCACATTGTGTGCAGTCACCACCAGCTGAGCTTTCATGTTCTCTACCAAGGTGGGGACATTTTTAACTCCTAGAACACACAGTCACTGTGAGCACTCACAGGGCCTCCTCTGGTCACAAGAAGCTGCTGGGCCCAGCTGTTGTAGTTTTCTTTCTATGTTTATAGTGAACCAGGTTTCAAGGCATAGCATGAGGCCATAGAACATAGGTAATGGAGGGCCGGACGCGGTGGCTCACGCCTGTAATCCCAGCACTTTGGGAGGCCGAGGAGGGCAGATCACAAGGTCAAGAAATCGAGACCATCTTGGCCAACATGGTGAAACCCCGTCTCTACTAAAAATGCAAAAAATTAGCCGGATGTGGTGGCACATGCCTGTAATCCCAGCTACTTGGGAGGCTGAGACAGGAGAATTGCTTGAACCCAGGAGGCGGAGGTTGCAGTGAGCCGAGAATGCGCCATTGCACTCCAGCCTGGGCAACGAGCGAAACTCTGTCTCAAAAAAAAAAAAAAAAAAAAAAGAACATAGGTAATGGAGGACTTGGCTTCATCATCATTAGCATCACGTGTTGACCAACTAAAAGCCTCAGATAATTAGGAAAAATGTTTACTTTTTATCATACACCAAAGTATGTGGTGCACTCTTTGGTAATGTGATTCAACAGATATACTTTCTTTTTTTCTTTCTTTTTTTTTTTTTTTTTGAGAAAGAGTTTCATTCTTGTTGCCCAGGCTGGAGTGCAATGGCGTGATCTCGGCTCACCGCAACCTGAGTCCCGGGTTCAAGTGATTCTCCTGCTTAAGCCTCCTGAGTAGCTGGGATTACAGGCATGCACCACCATACCCAGCTAATTTTGTATTTTTAGTAGAGATGGGATTTCTCCATGTTGGTCAGGCTGGTCTTGAACTCCTGACCTCAGGTGATCCGCCTGCCTCGGCCTCCCAAAGTGCTGGCATTACAGGCATGAACTACTCTGCCCAGCTTTCAACAAAACAAATATACTTTCTTTTTTTTTTTTTTAAAGATGGGGTTTCACTGTGATGGCCGGGCTGGTCATGAACTCCTGACCTCAGGTGATCCACCCACCTCGGCCTCCCCAAGTGCTAGGATTACAGGCGTGAGCCATCGTGCCCGGCCAACAAAGATACTTTCTACTAAAAGTCCTCTTATCTAACATGATTGAGATTAAAGGTAGTTACCTAATTTAAAAATGCTTCTTAGAAAGAGCCATGTTAAACATTTTATATTGGCCTAAAACATACACATGTAGGTAGAAGTTTATTTGCTGAGTTTCTGATTGTAGGGCAAGGCCTTTGAGTAAGACTCAGCTGATTAGAGTTTTGCAGTGCCTTCCCACGCCTTCCCCTTCCCTTCCTTTTCTCTTTTCCCTTCCTTTCCCTTTCCCTTCTCCCTTTCTTTCCTTTCTTTCCCTCTCTGATCCTCTCCCCTCCCCTGCCCAGCCCTCTGTTTTCTTTTCTCTCCTCTCCATGTTGCCCAGACTGGAGTGGCTATTTATTTACTTATTTATTTTTGAGACAGAGTCTCACTCTGTCACCCTGGCTGGAGTGCAGTGGCACAATCTCAGCTTACTGCAACCTCCACCTCCCAGGTTCAAGCAATTCTCCTGCCTCAGCCTCTCTAGTAGCTGGGACTATAGGCGTGCACCACCATGCCTGGCTAATTTTTGTATTTTTAGTAGAGACAGGGTTTCACCATGTTGGTCAAGTTGGGCTCAAACTCCTGACCTCAGGTGATCTGCCTGCCTTGGCCTCCCAAAGTGTTGGGATACAGGTGTGAGCCACCACGCCTGGCCTGAAGTGGCAATTTATAGGCATGGTCTTAGCACACCACAACCTCGTAGTCCTGGGCTGAAGTGGTCCTCCTGGAGCCTGACAAGTACCTGGGACAACAGACAGTGTCTTCCTGAAAGCACATCAATAGTGATTATTTAGATTGCTTTTTGTTTTTTGAGATGGAGTCTTGCTCTGTCACCCAGGCTGGAGTGCAGTGGCACGATCTCGGCTCACTGCAACCTTTGCCTCCCAGGCTGAAGCGATTCTCCTACCTCAGCTTTCCGAGTAGCTGGGAGTACAGGTGTGTGCTATCATGCCTGGCTAATTTTTTGTATTTTTAGTAGAGATGGGGTTTCACCACATTGGTCAGGCTGGTCTTGAACTCCTGACCTCGTGATCCACCAACCTCGGCCTCCCAAAGTGCTGGGATTACAGGCGTGAGCCACCGCGCCTGGCCTAGATTGCTTTAAAGTACCACAATAAACAAAATTGTTCATGAAGCAGTCTGGTTATGAAACCTTTCTAAATTTTATGACTTTATTTTACTTTTGGAGACAGTCTCACCAGGCTGGAGTGCAGTGACATAATCATGGTTTGCTGCAGCCTTGAATTCGCAGGCCCCTCCCACATTACCCTCTTTGGTAGCTGGGACTTTTAGTGTGTGCCACCATGCCCAGCTAATTTTTTTTTTTGAGACGGAGTTTTGCTCTTATTACCCAGGCTGGAGTGCAATAGTGCAGTCTCGGCTCACCACAACCTCTGCCTTCTGGGTTCAGGCAATTCTCCTGCCTCAGCCTCCTGAATAGCTGGGATTACAGGCACATGTCACCATGCCCAGCTAATTTTTTGTATTTTTAGTAGAGACGGGGTTTCACTATGTTGACCAGGATGGTTTCGATCTCTTGACCTCTTGATCCACCTGCCTTGGCTTCCCAAAGTGCTGAGATTACAGGTTTTAGCCACCGCGGCTGGCCCATGCCCAGCTAATTTTTTTAAAAATTACTGTTTGTATATATGGGGTCTAACTCTGTTGCCCAGGCTGGTCTTAAATTCCTGGGCTCAAGTA